TGGCTCCGCGCCGCTGCAGCCAGTGCGTGTGTTGCTGGCGGTTTATAAGGCAGCGCTAGCCTCGCTGCATGTCGCGCCTGTTCTGCACGTCGCGCTCTGCATGTTGCACGTCAGCTCTCGCAAGTCTTGGTACACACGCAAGCTAGCTCTCACAAACTCGCACTCCTGGGTCACTAGGACCCCGCGGCAGCCGGAGCTACCAGACAGGTACGCAGCCGAGTTGGTGAGTGGAATAACAAGTGTTGAGTTGGTTCCATTGCATTCAAGTCTCCCGCCACCTGTATAGGAGACGCCTAGAAAGGATGCACCTGAGTAGGAGTGAATAAATCAGAGTGCACACATAGAAAACCCTGGTGGTATGGATTATTAGCGCCTCTACTGATTAGCCAGAGTGGGTGAGAAAGTGTGGGTGACTGCAGATTTCATGTGGTGCCTGGGGGTATATTTCTCCCAAACGGAGGTACGTCCCGGGTTTTCCTGATAACCGCTCGTCGGGAGGGCCTAATCCTGAGCGTCTGTCTGACGGCACACCACTGGCGAGTGTGAGGGTCGGCGGCACGCTACAATATCATATGCAGACGCAGCAAAGGCTATCAAAACAGACATCTCAAACCCAAACGCATCATCCACCCAATCTACTCCTGCAACACAACCAATGGCGACCCCTGAGGTAAAATCCACTAGTCGTGACAACCCAAATAGAACAAAAACTAAGGTCAGCAGATCTGTTCAACCCAGAACTACTCTCCCCTCGAAACAAAGAAAGGATGCCACTACCCAAACTGAACAGACAAAATATTTGCACTTTGATGACAGGTTTACTTATCTTACAATGGAATGCACAATCCCTTCTGGCTCACCAAAAGGAACTAAAAGACATAATTTACTCTTGGCCTACAATCAAGAAACCAGACATTATTTGCGTTCAAGAAACTTGGTTGAAAGAGAATAATAATTTCAGATTAAGTGGCTACGATGTCTACCGCCATGACCGAAACAACTCAAACAAAAAAATTCTGGTGGATGTGCTTTTATTATAAAACATGGAGTTGCTTTCAAGTACAAAATGCA